AAAAAGTTTCCAAACAAACTAAACTATCCAAATTAATTTTTTTGCATGTATTTGATAAGATTTTTCTTTAAATTTCGTTAACAAGAATGATAGGGGTAGTTTATTTCAACCCCTTCCACTCATTTTAAAAAAGTGAAAAATTACCAGAAAGTGTGTTTTCATAACAGTAATGCTTCCATAAAATTTCATTAGTCTATCTCTTTTCGTTTTCAAGATAAAAAATAAAAACATTATTTTTCCGCCATTTTTGTACCGCGATATCTCCCTAATGGTTGACTTTTGACCCAACGTTTATGAAGCAAACTACCCTTTATTTTGAACAAGGAATCACCCCCTGAAGTTTTTCGCATTTGTTTTGAAACACCCTGTATAAGTATAAAAAATAACAAGCAAAAAATAGCTATAATATCTCTGCGTAAAAAAATGGAGAATCTTTTTCAACACCAATTATACCAGTACTACCGTATTATTATATAGGTTCTTGTTTGTTATTTGGCGATCTGTCAAAGATAAACAGACCATCGGAAGGCGCCCACTTGATCCCGTCCTCAGACTGACCATTTGCGGCGTTTGCTTCGTCACTTGGCGTAATGAGGCGATCGAGACGCCATCTAAGGCTTTCTTCGTCCACACTTCGTCTCCGTATGTTCCTTAGGCCACTGTCCAAATATTTAATATCTACCTCAAACAGTGAGTTTGAAAAATCTGGTGAAAACACTTAGAGCATTTCGATTTTAGAGCTTTTGTTCCAGTGGCCCTCTTCTGATGCAACGAACAGCATTTAAAAGATTTAACCTAATCAATGTGTGCCATTTCTATATAGGCGCAATAATGAAAAGAGAGAAACTTTACCAGAATCCCATGTGGGCGACAGAGAGAGCCTTCGACTTGGCAGATAATATAAAAACTTTGAAGGAAATTGTTGATTACTGATGTCTCCAGATTCACACTTTCCATTTTTTAACCTAGTTTACAATTCAAAGTCAAAGTCAGACAATCATAACCGTCAGTTATGATTGACAGGTTTTTGAGATGGCTCCCTCAAAAGAAGGCAAAGAGGCTTCTAAAAGAGTGGACTATATTATAGTTGTCAAAGAACAAAACGTGTATGATTTAAAGATGTTTCTAGCTAACATGAAGACGTTAAAATTAGACTATGAAATTGTTAGGGGAGAGGTAATAGTTATTCGTTATTCTGTTTTCAAAATGTCTGAAATTTTATCTTTTCTTATAGTAATAAAATCTTTTTATAGTAATAAAATCAAGAATTTAGTTAGTTATCATATTATGTCAATATTATTAAAAACTGTGAATTTAAATGAATATATTCTTATTATTTGTAGACGATCGAATTGATGTTTATTAAGGTAACGATAAGTAACGATGCCTTACAGCATTTTTCGCAAGTTTATGATATAGGAAATGAAGAACTAGACGAAGAAATGTCGATATATACTGAACCAATCTATCCAATGACATACTTTAAAACACCAATATCCAATACTTTACCTAAAAAGAACAAGTAAGTCCTCGAAATTCTAATTACGCCCTTATAGTAATTTTTATCTTATACACTTTCTTTAATTTGTTACTGGAGCATTTATACTGTGTGACAAGAAAGGAGAACACATACAGGGTGAGTTTCCTACTATGTTCTCTATGGGTATCTCGGAAACTACTGGAGATAGAGAACGGTCGGCTAAATGGGGAAAGAATTGCAGTTTTGTGGGGTCATATACAGGGTGTTTCAAAACAAATGCGAAAAATTTTAGGGGGTGATTCCTTGTTCAAAATAAAGGGCAGTTTGCTTCATAAACGTTGGGTTAAAAGTCAACCATTAGGGAGATATTGCGGTACAAAGATGGCGGAAAAATAATGTTTTTATTTTTTATCTTGAAAACGAAAAGAGATAGACTAATAAAATTTTATAACACACTTTCTGGTAATTTTTTCACTTTTTTAAAATGAGTGGAAGGGGTTGAAATAAACTACCCCTATCATTCTTGTTAACGAAATTTAAAGAAAAATCTTATCAAACACATGCAAAAAAATTAATTTGGATAGTTTAGTTTGTTTAGAAACTTTTTTTATCTCTTGTATTTTTTTGATAAAACTCACCGATTTGAAATTAAAAAATAAAATGTAAAGCATTACATGTCAGGACAAAAAACATTTTCTGATAAAGAATCTAGTGGGCTGCTGTAATTTTTTTAGGATAAAATCTAGTCGGCCGCTGTTACTTTTTAGGATGTTCCTAATATTATTTTATTTGACATTACTCTACTGCAATACGTTATTATTTAGATGATTGTTATTATCGTTATTATCACTAGATTCTTAATCTAAAAATGTTTTTTTGTCCTGACATGTAATGCTTTACATTTTATTTTTTAATTTCCAATCGGTGAGTTTTATCAAAAAAACACAAGAAGTAAAAAAGTTTCTAAACAAACTAAACTATCCAAATTAATTTTTTTGCATGTGTTTGATAAGATTTTTCTTTAAATTTCGTTAACAAGAATGATAGGGGTAGTTTATTTCAACCCCTTCCACTCATTTTAAAAAAGTAAAAAATTACCTGAAAGTGTGTTTCCTCATAACAGTAATGCTTCCATAAAATTTCATTAGTCTATCTCTTTTCGTTTTCAAGATAAAAAATAAAAACATTATTTTTCCGCCATCTTTGTACCGCGATATCTCCCTAATGGTTGACTTTTGACCCAACGTTTATAAAGCAAACTACCCTTTATTTTGAACAAGGAATCACCCCCTAAAGTTTTTCGCATTTGTTTTGAAACACCCTGTATATGCGCCTTTTAGATTTTTGAAAAAGTTCATGGCTTACTAGATATTTTGAAAAAAGACAAATTTTGGCTATTTTAAAAATTGTCCCTAATTCCATTATAATCTATTTTAGACAAAAAGTCTACAGATAAAAGTTGTAGATAATCAAATCCCTAATGAGTTTGTGTTCTCCGATCTTTTCTAAAGCCTGTCATTTTTGACATATGACTCAAACATATGTTTTTTTAAATGGAAACCATAGTTGGCCATGACTTCATAAAAAGCACCATTTTATAGCTTTTCAGCGATATAAGCTATAATATGTTTTTTTTTTCAAAAAATTACGGAGTTATAGCATTAACTCCTATAATTTGTAGGAGTTAATGGTTTAGTCAAACATTGTTCTTTTTAGAACCTCTTTTAGTGCGAACTGGTAATCTTTTTATACAAATAAAATTTTAAAAAATATACTAATCAAAATAAACTAATGATTTTTGATTGATTTTGATTATTTTAGAGAGATAACAGACGCAGAACGGGTAGCTATAGTAAATTTAGTCTTAGAATCCATTAAGTTTGACGAAAAAGAGGCAGACTTTGGCATCAGCAAGTTGGTGAAAAGAAAAATAGTCGTTTGTGCTTACCCATTGCACGATGGTACAGGAACTCTTAATGGAGAAAACACTAGATCAGTAATATATTCATTTATTCTTATTATAACAATATCTACATTTTTTCCAGATCATGATTTTTGCTTTATTATTATAAATTAGTGTTTTTAACTTTTGACTAGATAGTCTTTGTAGGTATGTATAGGAAAATCAATGACGTGCTCGCCAACATTTATTGGTTCCCTAAACAGGCTGTCATTGAAATGGTGTAAAAAAAATCGGGGGGTGATAGTACTCCTAAAAATAGTAAAAGAAGTTCCTATAAGTATAGGGCAGAAAATGCATATTAAGGGAGTTAGGGGCACTGAAAGGGTGAATTTAAAAAACGCTTGTCTTAAAATTGTAGGCTTAAAAAACGAGATAAAATTTCGAAAAAAAGTCCTCTGCCATAAATTTTGACCCTAAATCAAATGGTAATACTGAAAAATTATTAGGAAAAGCGGAAAGGGTAGTTTTTGCAAGGATAGGGTTTTTTTTCGTGAATTACTTTTTTGAGGGTATTTTTTTTGCAACGTGGGTTCATTTTTTGAAAACTACATACTTTTTACCTACCTCTTGTTGCACATCGCCCAGAGCGATGGTTTTCGAGAAAATTGAAGACAAAGAGTTTGCTCTGATGTCTTGCTAACTGGTTAATCAACATAAACTTATGAAAGTTATGGCGGTTCAAAAGTAACCAAGTAGTTATCAAATAATTAATTGAAAAATCAAAATTTCATGATTTTTAAAACATCTTATTGCTTTAAAAAACGAAATAATCCAATTACCACAATTCCTTATTAAAATAATGCATTCCTTAATTCATTCATAGTAAATGTTCAAAGTGACCACCATCTTAGTAAATGTTCAAAGTGACCATCTGATCTTCTTCTCCACGATCTGCGTAGATACCCTGTGGAATATCCTTGGTGTTGTCCGAATTTGATTGGAACAGTCAATAATGCGTTGCCGTAGTTGCTTTTCAGTATTAATCGGCCAAACTTTTTTAAAACCAAAAAAGTTTATTTCGTTTTTAAAGCAATAAGATGTTTTAAAAATCATGAAATTTTGATTTTCCAATTAATTATTTAATAACTACTTGGTTACTTTTGAACCGCCATAAATTTCATATGTTTTGGTTAATTAGCAATTAACAATTAGCAATCTCTTTGCTTTAAATTTTGTGCAACAGTGCCCTTTTTGTAGGAAAAAGCATGTATAGTTTTCAAAAAATGAACCCACGTTTTTTTTACACCAGATTTTTTTATACCATCTCAATGACACCCTGTATATTGTTTCCTAATGTTACATTAAGATTCGTCCCATAAATCTGTCACAATCTGGCGGCACTGTCGCCATCGCTTGTCGCTCAAAGTTGATGACGTCCATCGGAAATTGTTTTGCAATTACTATATCTATTTTTCTCTATTACTTACAACTTACAACATTTTTTTCTTTTAGTTATTGTTGAGGTACTGGGCTAACATCTCATGCGTGTTCAAAGAACAGCCTTTGGACATGATATACCGATATTTTGGACAAGAAATAGCGTTCTATTTTGCTTGGTTGGAGTATTTTGTTTGGATGCTAATCATACCAGCGCTTGGCGGAGCAATCGTATTTGTAGCTGCCATTATATACACTCTCGGAGACACTTACAGTAAATGGTAAATACACCTTTAATCTAAATGGATACCTTTATATCAATTATATTATATATTATAATTATTTATTTTCGATTGTACAGGGTGGCTCGAATTCGACGCTCATCATTGGGATTTCGGAAACCGTAAGAGATACAGTATCGGTTAAAAGGAGACAAAGTTGCGCAATTTGATGCTCAATAAAATGCCGTATTGCATTTTGAAAAATTCCGAATACTTCCGAATATATTCGAAAAAAAAACGGAATTTTCAATTTTGTTTTCTATTGTTACCTGGCTTTATTTGTTAAGATAACTTAAAATGAAAAACAAATTTTCATGGCCACTTTTTCTACTCTGTGTGATTAAATATTGACTCTGACGTTTCGGCTTCTGGTGACCATCATCAACTTAATTTTTTTTTTAATACACTGATAAAAAAGATAGACTTCAACTAAAGTCGTCATCGTTCTTGAAAAAAAAAATTTAGTGGCAAGAGAATTTATTTTAAAGGAAAAGAAAATATTTTGCCTGAAGAAAAACTCTCTTAACTCAAAAAAAATTGTTTTCTTGATAAATTCGAAAATTTCTCTTGAATCTATTTTCATTCAACCAAGTGCAAGTTACTTTGTTTTAAGATAATAACAAAAATACGCTAGGAAGTACTTTAGTCGAGAAACATGCCAATTTTTCCAATAGCTTAATACTCTTTTGATGAAAAATAATAACGACAGGCAAAGACGATGACGAAGGACGGTATACAATCAGTCGACACTGTCGACAGTCTGATCAGTCGCACGTCGCATTTCATAGGTCGCACATCATTGTATGCACGGATTTTGTTGCTTGGAATTTTCCACTTGGAATTTTGCATAATTTGCTTTTTAAACGCATATCGTATAACAAATTAGTGATCGTTATTAACATGCATTTGTCATTTTTTATGGACAAATTTTAGGATATATGGATTATTTAAAGGAGTTTCTGAAAAAATGGAAATTAGAGCATTTATTTGCTATATTTGAAGGTAAGAGACATTTACCTAATGCACCTGTTTAGATAATGCATGCGTGACTATAGATAGAATAAGAATATAGGTATCGATTTTTTTATGCAAATAATTACAAAAATTTTAGAATTTCAAGTCGTCGTATTAAAAAATTCAAAATGTGACCAAAGCTTATAATTTTAATAATTTATTTGCTTTACTTTGATTAATCGTGATGTAACATTTCTTTGTAATTTGTAGAGTGATGAACCACCCCAAAAAATACCAAGGAGTGAAGAAGCAGAAATAACTACTATCGAGGAAAATAATATCACTTTACTTACTACAGACCAGGAAAACCTAAATTTATCAGAAAATAATATACCTCGTAATATGCCTGTATATGATGTATAGACTTCTCTTAGATCAAAATAAATTTTAATTGAGACAATAGTATTACTTTGGACAGATAGATTCTTCCGAGGGGTAAACCGCAGAGGAATTATGGTGTACACTATAAAGGAATTCTACAGGAATTCCAAGGAATTACGAGGAATTCCAAGGTATTAACAGGAATTCCAATGATTTCCGGAAGAATTCCGATGAATACCAAGGAATTCCTTAGGAATTTAGAGGAATTCCACAGGAATTAAGAGGAATTACAAGCAACTTTATACAAAATTAACGAACATAAGTAGACCATGAATACTATAATAGGTAGGACCGAATTTAACGAAAAACGTTTTGCAGGCGATTTTTTTACTATCCGTTTTTCATTTTCGAATCGCTTCCAAAATTTCCCAACATCAAATATCTACAGGTTAGATATTCTTTTAATTTAATATTGTACCCTCGATTATATATCTAAAATATATTCCAATAGTTGGCCGAACCACCCCCGAGAGATCTACTTATAACGTTCCTTGATTTCGCCATTTTAAAAAGAAACGCTCATAAGATTTTTTATTCAATACTCAGAAAGTGTAAAGTTGTTTTTTTCATTTCCTCGGAATAATACCGAGTATATACAATAGGAAAATTAATACAACTTTAGGTGCACTTCATCAATGACACCATACGTAATCTTGTGGAATTTACTGGTGATCGTATTATGACGTTCAACTGAAGTTTTATTAATTTCCTTTCCTATAGATATAACTAGGACCTATAATTTTCAAAAAAATCCCGAGAAAATGAATTTTAATAAGTAAGTGCCGACATATTTCCAGTATTTTCACCTCATGATCCCCTATTAGTCCTAAAATTTAACTAAAAAAACGTAAATCTTGTAATAGTACTTTTTATTGTTAGATCTAGGACATATAAAAATCACGACAAAATTCATTGCGGAACTGCGAAACGGAGGTGGCAACGCTGGTTGAGACTGAAAGAGTTACCGAGTTCGTACCAAGGAATTCCAAGGAAGACCTTGAATGATTGACCTTGACGTTGAAGACCAAGGAATTCCAAAAAATTCCGAAGGAATTACGAGGAATTCTGAGGAATTATTTGAGCAAAAGGAATTACGGTGTACACTTTTTCCTCTGCGGTTTACCCCTCGGATTCTTCTATTCTCTAAAGTAATTTTTTAAAGCTTATGAAAAGATAGTTAATGCTTTGGGCAAAGAAACGTCGTTCTTGGCCCTATTGAAAAGCGCCAATCTTTTGGGTCAAAGTCATATTCATTTCGACTGAGAGGTCCTTTTTTTCAGTGTACGGACCTGATTTTTTTTCAATTTAATTAAATCTCTTAAACACTATATATAGTCACTTTGATATTTGCCGACGTTTCGTACAGTAAATTCCATTACCAGAATATTTTATGCAAAAAAATAAAATAAAAAATAAAAATGCAATACGGCATTTTATTGAGCATCAAATAGCGCAACTTTGCCTCCATTGAACCGATCCTGTATCTCATACAGGTTCCGAAATCCCAATGATGAGCGTCGAATTGGAGCCACCCTGTACATATTTAACTAAACTTTTAGGTACAAAGCGTGCGAAAAAACGACTTGACCATGTGCGCCACCTGCGAAGACTTGCCCAACTGCAAATTCGGTAATTTCAACAAATTCTGCGAGTTGTTCCTGTGGACATTCGTGTTTGACAACTACCTGACAGCAGCCTTTGCCGTCTTAATGTCATTTTGGGGTAAGGTGTACAGGGTGGGTCAAATTCGACGCTTTTAAATGGAAACACCCTTTTCTATAGGAGATGGACGAAAACTAATATTGGTGTCTGGAGCTCAATTTTTCTCAAAAACATGATGGTGAAAACCGCATATCGATATCTGTTACCGTTTCGGAGTTACGGGGTGTTTTTCAAAAATATGCATTTTTAACAAATCGCTGTAACTTTTTTGCTATGGAAAATTTTGTATTTTTATGAAAACATTTCCAAAGCACCTTTTTACGTAGAATTTAATGATTTAAGTATATATTTTTTTAAATTAATAATTTAAGAGTTATCAACAGAAAAATTGATTATTTTATTTAGGACACCCTCTATATTTTTAATTAACTGAAAAGAATTTAAAATTACCTTTCCAAAAATATAGCACACTTGATATTTTGTGATAATTCCCTTCGAAATACAGAATATTTAAAAGTTCGCCACTTTTAACTAGTAGGCTTTGGACCCTTATTGATGATATGCCCTTAATGGAACTCGAAAACATATTTTTCCAGCGAGACGACGCGCCGCCTCGGAACGCTGAAGTTATCAGCAAGTTTAATAATAATAATAATAATGATAATAATTAATTTTTTAGCTACGTAATCGAGGAAGCGATTTTTAAATTGATTGTTTTTGATTCAAAACAATATTTAAATCGAATTTCCAAATGACTAGGGCTTATTTCAAATTAAAATTCCTATCCTAAATGACTAAATCGGTAAACTAACTCTGCCTGATACCGATAACATTAACAATTCTACGGAGCGTGTCATTTTTTTACATCGATCATCAAAAGAAGTTTTTTTTCAAACATCGCAAAAGTATTAATTTTTGTCATTTTAAAGCCTAGGTATGAAAGTAAAGCACTGTTACGTCTAAGCACAAAAGTAGAAAAAAATATTACTGAACTGATATTAAGTGTCAATTTCAACGAGTGTACAAATTGTTGCTCGATTACCGTTTATATTATTTGCAATGTTTGAAATTGATTAAATAAGTAATTGTAATGTTTAAAAAAAGATGTTCTATTCGGAGTAAAAATGTACTTTTTGTGCCTCCCTGTAACGTCGGAATAGCTTTACGATGGTCCTTCAAAGGTCGTCACAGCATCGTCAAAAAAAGTATAATTTTTACTCCTAATAAAACAACACACTATTGTTCGGAAATAGTCTTAAGTTGAGAATGGAATTAGTATGTATTATCTGTCCTATATGTCAAAGTGTAAAGTACTTACTGCAGATTAAAATGTCTAGGCTACTAGTAACATAGCAAGTTGCCGGACGCATTTACAGCGAAAATTATTAATAACTCTTGATATAGTAGGTAATGATAGAATTGCCCTGTTTACAAAAGTTTGTGGAAAAATTGTTTGTATATCCCGATAAGACCTATTTTGGAAATACCATTTTATAATTTGAATTTTCTCACGAACTTCGTAAACATCCGTTATTTTACTTAAAAAATAAATTTTACTGTCGCGAGAATCTATGCCCAAGTAGCATCTATCTGACTTCGAACTAAATCTGACCTGAAGCGACGTCAGACTTTGTGCAAATTTAGGTCGGGTGCTGGTGATACGACCGGTGACGTCGCTTTCCTATTAAAAGCGACGTCGTTCGATCCGAGTCGGTAAATCCAACGATCTGCCGACGTACAAAATAACAACGTACCATTTTTATTAATTTCCCAACGTCGTTCCCACGATGCGCGATGGCTTGCACGACGTACATATACTTGAACTAGCCCAATTGTTGTCTCAATAGTATACGTCTCACTGATAATCCCTAAAGTAAAGTCCAATTATATTTTGTTGTATTTTATGTTCATATTTATAACCTAATTTACGTATCCCTATTTACGTCCGTAAATACAATCCCATTAAGTAGTATTTGCGACCTAATGAACATCATGAATATAACCTAATAAAAAGTTTTTATAAAAGTAAACATACTTAATTTACGCCTAAAAAATTACTAAAAAGGCATTTAGACATTCATCTACATTTTACAGAAAGAGGTCGAAGCTTTTGCAAAATAATAATAGTAGTAGTGATGTCTTGCCTCCACCCATAAATGCTTTTTATCCTGAAGAGATGCTGCATTACACTGGTGCATCTTAATTTCATTTTTTAGCTTAGGAAACCAGCAGACCCCATCCTCCTCCCACATGTGAGGTTAGGCTTAAAAAAGTGGCTGCCCATTTTTTTTAAGGAGAAAACAAAAACTAAAATATAGTTGCACAAATCCACAAATCACTGATACGCAAAGTGAGGTTACGTGGCATACGTTGGAATTATATACGTCATAATACGATTGCCGGTCGTCCGGTTTGATGACTTCGGTCGTGTGAGACGACTAATGTTGCAGACCCGGTCGGCATTGGTATATTGGTAGTTCATATTAAGTCGGACACAGAAATCCGCCATTCTTAACAAGTATCAGATAGTCAGCCATTTTAAAATCGTTTTTTGTTTTTAAAATTTATATTCACATTTCGATTTCTAGTAGAATAATATTGATAAGGTTGAGTTTGGGGAGAACCACAGTACAATTTTATGATTAAACCAGCTAGAAAATTAAACAAATATTTTGCGAGTTACTTTTTTATAGATATTTTTATTTCATAAATCTACCTAATTTTGAAGGCGCTCGTTGTTTTCAGAATTATTTTTAATCAGATATATCAAAAAGTGACTTCCGTTGACAAAACTGATGTCTGGATTAATGATTCAGAATTATTATAATATGAAATTAGATAGGCACTTATAGTTATATTCGAGAAGAGTGATTATGAATCCATTTGTAATTAGGTAGTTTGGTTAGGTTTTTATGTATTCTTGGTAGCGAATATGAAACCAAACGTAACGTAAGTGCTTAGCGACGAATTTTAAGTGACTAAAATCCAACGTAATATGACGTTGGTAATTGGTAGAATTACATTCTCTATTAGGTCAGATACCGACGTCGAGGCGACCCGAATCTGTATTCCCCATTTAGGTGCAAATAAGGGTCGTCAGGCGGTCGAACCGACGTTGGTACCCGACGTCGGATTTATTGAACGCCACGTATACCCGACGTTAGATAACGTCCAAATGCTACTTGGGTGTATTTGTTTTGGCTATTAAAACACGAATAAATACAAATTCTGAAACATTCTTATCACATATCTACCTATTTTTATTTTATCGCATTTTTTCGCCTGCTTTTTATCCGGCGGACGGGTATACGCTAATTCCTCCGGTTCTGCCTATGTTTCAATCAAATTATATTTTTTTGATTTAAATCACATCATGATTAAAATTAAAAAAATCACTTGATTTAAATCATGATTTAAATCATGCGAACCCTGAAAAAATGTCAAGTAGCCACACTTATTTATTTATTTCCTGACATTGTCATGAGACAGACAGAGAGAGACCAACTGAAAAACGTGTTTATTTTTTTTTAAACGAAGCACTTTTGTATGGAGGTAAATTGTGTCCAATGAACATATTTTGATTTCAAAAATACGTAGTAGTTCTGTATCGAAATATTAGGACACCCTGTATTAACGTCGATATTAACAATTTCTAGCAATTTTCTTCATTAATCTCTGGCGTAGAAAAGAGAACAAGTTAAAATTACGATGGAACACAAACATCGAAGATTTCGATACAGAAAACAGGGCAGTTTTCGAAGATTCGGCAAAAAGCAAAAGAAGAAACACCATTACCGGAGAGCTAGAGCCTCACATTCCGAAAATAAATATTTTTTTTCGATATGCCGTCACTCTGTCCACCTGCGGTATTTTGGTAAGCTTTTGAAAGATTTTTTTTTGTTATATCTCAAGATTTTTAAAATTATACACTTGTTTTGTTTAGTAAAGCGCGGTCCACACGCAACGACTTACCGTACGATTTGCCTGCGCAACATATAAAACGCGCAGATCAAGATGCGTCCACATTAAGGTTGATTCTCACTGTACCTTCCGTTTCCATTCCATATCCGTTTCGTATTTTTGATTGTATTGACGCTATACGTAAGCTTCCGTTCCGTATCAGTTCCATACTTTTTATTGTACCGGGTGTTCCACTAAGAATAGCTCTCGGCTGTATCTCGGAAAGTATTAGTCGTAGGGCTTACGGAAAAAAATATTTTAACTAAAGGGGCTATGAGAAATTGCTGGAAATTATTTTCAAGTTCGTAAAACGGCCGCTAGGTGGAGCAAAAAACCAAACTCCGGACTGGATGATCAGAATCCAACAAACGAGGGCTTGTTTAAAAGAGCGTTTCTTACTCTATATTATACCATAAAAATAATAATAATAAGTTTTTGAACGTAGACGCTAGGGGGCGCTTTCTTACAATTTAACAAATATAGCGCTTTTTTTCAAAAAAAGTAAATACGATAGTATGTGTTATTTTAGCTGATAGGAAAGAGTAGCAAAATCTTAAAAAGTCAGCGAAAACCGCATCTTGATATCTTCTTTCAAACCGAAGATATTAGCAAAATTATAATAAATACCAAAAAATAAGCCCTTAATTACCTTATTTTTACAATACCATGGTACAAAGAAAACAAGGTATGATCGATAGCGGCTCCAATTTCGTTAAGTTTACGCATACCACCTGTGACGTCATACGCCATACAAAAAAATATCCATATTGTTCAATTGCCACTAATAAAAAAAGACCTAAAATAAGGAAGAGTTAGGACATAACCGCAAAAGTTATGTTTTGACATCGAGCTTGACATTTGAAACATTATTTTCACATTTTGACACAATCAAATTTCACAGATGACACAATCTCTTTGACAATTTGAAATTGGCGCGCAGGGCTTGCCGACCAATGGTGCCGTTTATCACCTGTGACGTAGTAACCAACCTGCGCAATATCATACCTTGTATTCTTTGTATCATGTTACAATACAGTATCAGTAGCCCTCTTGATTAGGCCCATTCTAACAAAAAAATAAGATAGAAACAGTTAGTTTATTTTAAAATCGTCGAAATACCAGAATACCATAATACCAGAGGTATTAATATCTAATAATTAAGATATTAATAATAGTGAAAAAGAAACGATGATTCAGTGAAGTCATGGTAGGCTTTGGAAAAAAGTTGCTTTTCGCGTAATAGTATAAACGTCAAATTGTTATTAGATCAACATTTTGATAGTATTAGCAGCGTTTTTTTATCTTTTAAATGCTTTTTCAAAATGCCTTTATTATTTGAAGTACTTGAAGTTGTGGGCATTTTGAAAAAGCAAGATGGTAGATAGGGGAAAATGGCTCTAACAAAAAATATTCAAAATTTACTGAAGATTATGAAGCTGTTACTTATAGTACACCTTATCTAGACAAAATTGTGTAAAAACTCCATCTTCTTATTTTTTGTTGCAGTTGCGCCCCCTAGTGGTCGTTTGGAGACCAACAAACAAACTGGAAAATAATTTCCAGCAATTTCCCATACCCTCTTTAGTTATAAATATTTTTTTTCGCAGCCGCTACGGCTAATGCTTTCCGAGATACAGCCGAGAGCTATTCTTAGTGGGACACCCTGTACAATTTATAGGTATCATTACGAAAGTTTTATTTTAAAAATTTGTATCTTTTGAAAAAGGTAATAGATTTAATCAAGAGGTGAAAGAATAAATAAATATTAGCAAAATTTCAATAGAGCTGGTACAAATGTAAGAACTTGACAACGCTGTTTCCGATACGCTTCAGTCCAGGGAAGGAAAGGATATGGAAAGGAAGTGAAACGGAACGGATAGTGTGCATTGTCCTATTCGTTTACATGATATAATATTTTATGTAAACGGAAGGGAGCTGATATGGAAGGTATATTGAAAATCAACCTTTGCAAAGACTTGTCGTTCAGTTTTTTGAATTCGGCCATATCAGTATAGGGAAAACACTGTTGTGGTTAGTTTTTGCTGTTTATTTAAATAAAGTTGGACGTTTTGTTGGCGCTAAGTCGTACGGTAAATCGTTGCGTGTGGACGCTCCTTTAGATATCATTATTTGTGATAAAAATACTTTTCATGCTTTTTTTGTCTCTTTTTAGTGGGTATTGTGTTCGATAATCAAAAATTCTCCTATCGTTAGTCCAATTTAATCTTGTTTTTTTGTAGATCGGGATTATTTTCCTTACAGTACTGGTTATAACAGCTTTCAAAGTGATATTTGCAAGGTACTGTGACGCATCTGAAACTAAATTCCTTTTATACCACTCCAAAATACTTACGATGTTACTGGGATCAGCCATGCAAGTGTTCTGTATCAAAATGTTTGAAAAGGTATACCGGGTGCGCCTCGAAAGTGACTCACCCCCGCATTTTTGTACGAATAATTTCGTACAACATACTTGGTATTTCGAGTCAAATTGTCGCTGGGAAGCGCATGTTACAATTTTAAATAAACCATATGCGAAAATGTCAAAAGTTGACATATGATATATGTCTTTCTATTCAGAGTGTTATTTTCTAAAAATCAAAAGTTAGTTCATTTCCGGTGAAACAGGAAGTGATTAAAAACAAGTGAATACGTCAATCAATCCTATTTTATGTCATATACTAACATACCAAATCTCGTTTTTTTATCTGGAAAAATAAAAGTGTTATAGGGGTGAGCCACTTTTGAGACGCACCCGGTATAGTGTAACTAATCGACTTTGTGTTATATATCTAAATATATTATGTATTTTATTGTAAAAACAACAATTTTAGATTTATGGACCTCTCTCTATTGAACTCACAAAGTACGAGAACCCAAGAACCCAGCAAGCCTTTGACAACTCGGTACTGTACAAGAGGTACTTGCTCAGTTTCATCAACAACTATACTCCCCTGTTCTATCTGGCTTTTATGAAAGTAAGAAAAATGAATCTACGACCAATGGAAATTCACATTTTTAATAAAATATTTTTATACTTTAACTATACTACTAATTTTATTAAAGTAGGCTCACCCCTTTATAGTACGAGAGCTAGCAACGTCGGAAAAAAAAGTATTTTAAGACGTTTGGCTCTTTGATATATCTTTTACTATGCTCTCTGGAACAGCATGCGGCCCGTCTGGCTGCCGGTAAACGTTGCGCACCCTACTGCGCATTGAAAGAAGATCCTATATTTTTATTAGTCCTTTAACTTCTAGTATTGAATATAAATCGAACATGTCTCCATACCGCAGTGCGTGGAGTTTCCGACCACGAACCGATGATTCAGAGTTCGAATCCGGGCCAGGGCAAAGACTTTTTTATTTTATTTTCGTTTATATTCTGATAGTAAAGTATTAAATATTTGTTTTTTTAAATCACCAGTACTAGAATTGATAGGACTAAATTAATAAAAAAATATAGGATCTTCTTCCGATGCGCAGTAGTGAACGCAACAGGTATCGGCAGCCAGACGGGCCGCATGCTGTTCCAGAGAGCATAGTAAAAGATATATCAAAGAGCAATGTCATTCTACTCAGAGGGTGCCATTTTTTAAAAATCGAAAGTTGTGGTAATTTCCGGTGAAACAGGAAGTGACCAGAAATAATTGAATACGTCAATCAATCCAAATTTATGTCATATACATAACATACCAAATCTCGTTTTTTTTTTATCTGAAAAAATAAAAAGTTATAGGGGTGAGCAACTTTCGGCACGCACCCGGTATAATAACTAACTATTATTACTAATGTTATAAATTACAGGGAAAATTGTACACGGTGCCTCACGAAATCAACTTTTTTCGAAGGGATGCGTGCATGCCGGCAAATTGCGTCTTAGCACTCTGTATACAAATGGCGTTTCTCATGACGCTTAAAGACCTTTTGGGGAATGTATGCAGTCTAATATTTTTGTAAGTACTCCTGTATTTAACTTAACGCAAGATTTATTCGGTCTACCATATCTTATCTGAGCTAAATGTTCTTTAAATCTAGTTAATATTGATCTTCTAGTTTGCCCAACATATTTCTGATTACAATCTTTACAAGAAATTTCATAAATACCCGACCTTTCCAGTGGAGGTGTTTTATCTTTTGGATTACCTAATAATTGTTGTAATTTATTATTAGCACTATACAAAAGTTTATAATTGACATTCTTAAAATTCCTTTTTTTTTAGACCACGGGATAACTCTCTATCAAACGGTATCGAAAATATTTAGACGTATCTTTCTCCACTTGAAAAGTCGAATTTTCAGAAATCATTAACCTATACCTACGTTTTCTAATTAATTTATCAACTAGTGAAGGAGAATATCCATTACACTCAGCTACATTCCTAATGTAATCTCTTTCTATTTCATATTTTTCGTTGGAAAGTGGGAAACTTCATAGATTACTTAGTTTCCCACTTTCCAACGAAAGATATGAAATAGAAAGAGATTACATTAGGATAAATTAATTAGAAAACGTAGGTATAGGTTAATGATTTCTGAAAATTCGACTTTTCAAGTGGAGAAAGATACGTCTAAATATTTTTCGATACCGTTTGATAGAGAGTTATCCCGTGGTCTAAAAGGAATTTTTAAGAATGTCAATTATAAACTTGTGTATAGTGCTAATAATAAATTACAACAATTATTAGGTAATCCAAAGATAAAACACCTCCACTGGAAAGGTCGGTTATTTATGAAATTTCTTGTAAAGATTGTAATCAGAAATATGTTGGGCAAACTAGAAGATCAATATTAACTAGATTTAAAGAACATTTAGCTCAGATAAGATATGGTAGACCGGATAAATCTTGCGTTGCCGAACATATTGTTGATAATGAACATTGTATAGATCTTAATAATTTAAAATTAATTAAACAAGTCTCAAATTACAGGCAATTAGATGCATATGAAAGCATCAGAATTAATAAATGTAAAGATAGTATGAACAGAGTCAACGGTCTAATTCCTTCAAGTTCTTTGTTCCTACTACTCTAGTGGCGGAAATCTAACTGTTACGCTCAGTTGGCTCTGACTCGGTTGGCTAGATTTTGCCACGCCCACTCGGTGCCCACGTAGTAGCGAGTATATAAACGCTCAACTTGTAGATCGTACTTTAGTTGATAATCATCTGCTGATGATGCTAACATGGTTAGCGAAACGCGCGTCCAGTGTAAAAGTAAAAGTGTTTTGGTGTATTGTGGTGATTTAGTGTTTTTATTTTGCTGTGTAACACCAAAGGTTCCAACCCTCAACTGTAAGAAAGGAGCTGTCCAAAGAATACAGAAAACATCTCAGCTTTGTAATTGAAACGTATCAAAATTATCATGTAAACAAATAAAAACCAGACTCTCAAAAAGATATTCTGTCATTATAAACGTCCAAAAATTTCCAGTAGAATTCGCTGTTGGGTGCCCACAAGGAAAAAAAAATCACTAAAATTTATCCGTTGCCATGGTGATTTGTCAAAAAACACGTTTTGATTGGTTAAAAATTACAGGTGTGGAATTTTCATAAAAATTCATCATCAGTTCTCCATAAACGTGTAACGTGCCATCGCCGTGAATCACCCTATATAGATGTGCATTGATTGGAACTGTTACTCTATTTTTCTTATATTTATTTTCAGTCAGATCAGAAAACTTATTAACTATTTACTGAACATTAAAGAGCCACCGCCCACAAACATACCACAATGGGAGGAAGAATACTGTTTGTTTCCTACCAACCGCTACTTGCTTACCACCGAGTTTACCGAAATGAGTAAGAAATTACTTAGTAATTTAGGGATTATCATTGTTACTTTTATAAACGTTATTGGATATTGAACTTACAGGGTGTTTCAAAAAATATGTGCCTTTTTTCGTGGTGAGGTTCCTTACGTTAAAATAAGATTTATTTTTCACAGCAACAACATAGGTCCCATTTTGCTTTGTCTTGTACCTACAGATTGAGTGACGTATTCAATTGTTTTCGGTCAATTACTACAACTTTTGATTTTTAAATGACACTCAGAATAGAATGACATGTATGTCAACTCTTGATATTTTCGCATATGGTTTATTTGAAATTGTAACATGCGGTTCATAACGACAATTTGACTTAGAATACCAAGTGTGTGGTGTCAAATTTTTTGTAAAAAAATACTTTTTCCAAATATGCTAATGAGCCACACTTATTACATTTGAAAAAATTAAGATATGATTAAAAATACGATTTGGGCATCTTTTACCGGCCCGAACAAGACACGAAAAACATTAGACGATCAAATCTATTTTTCCAAGTCTCCTTGATTAAAAATTAGAGTTTTTAACACACTCTAATGGCGAGAATGTCAAACGTTGACTACGATATGTTATTCTAGTCAGAGTGTCATTTTCTATAATTCGATTAAAGTAAAAAAAAGTAAAGTAATAGGGATGAGCCACTTTTGAGAAACACCCGGTATATAACTGACAATGAACCATCCTGTATCTTTACTGAATAATTCGATACATTTTTAGTAATAAAATATGGTTTTGTGACGTTTTTTGTGGCTGCATTTCCCCTAGCCCCCTTATGCGCACTGGCCAATAATCTACTTGAAATGCGATCAGACGCTTACAAGCTTGTGATGCTCTACCGAAGACCTATACCGCTGATGAAGTCCGGTATAGGAGCTTGGAACGGGGTTCTACTGAGCGTTACTTTTCTCAGCACCGCTACGAATGCAAGTATTCTTCAACCGTTTTGAAAAAATTCTACTTTTTTAATATTGTATTCAGATATATTTGTTAAACCACTCCGCAGGGTGTTTCAAACTTTCGTCAAAATAAACTTTTGTTCTCTCTAGTGTAATAAAAAAATGGGGATTAGAATTTTTAATTTAAAAAGAGCCTAAAAAGTCAAATATTATAATCGACTTAAAAATACACGAAAATTATAAGCTGTCCTGTAAAGGTGCGTCCAGACCTGACGAGACGAGAGCGAGACAAGAGCGAGACATTCCAAATTTGCTGCAAACTTGCCACGGAGCCTCATAGACTCGCTCGACTGATTGAAAAAACCGACGATGAATAAAATACGACGAACCAAATACCATGTTAAATATACAAACATTTATTACTGTATGATCGTTATTATTTGGCCATCGTTTGTTATATTCAATTACAATTTAATATGTTTGGGTCCCTTTCATTATGATCCAACTCGCTTGTCTCGTGGCAGGTTTGCCTCAAAAAACGGATAGAAGATGTCTCGCTCTCGTCTCGTCAGGTCTGGACGCACCTTTAGTGTATGAGTATTTATATTTTTTCTTTTAGGCTTTCGTCATAGCTTTTACCAGCGATATCGTCCCTAGACAGGTGTTCCGATCTTACAATCCGAGCAGTGATTTATCAGAGTTTCCAGTATTAATGCTTACAAGTAAGAAATACAATATTTCATATTACAGCGTGATCAAAAGATTTATTCGAATATTTATTTTATCCAGAATCATACAATAATGAGAGGTTCATCCACTCATTTAAAATGAAAATTTATATACTAGTAGGACAAAATAACTTTATTCCATTAGTGGTATAGATAGATACGCTAATTTTTTAATAATAATATTCCATGGGCAGATTGATAAATAAGGTCTAAATTAAAAGAAAATGCATTTTTAACGAAAACTTGAAGAGAGGTTAAAAATGGTTAGGTATAAATTCATTATTAAATAGCATTATTATCATCAAAAGAATATATTAAAACCGAATTATAACGAGAAAACTTTCCTGGAACTGGTTGGCATGTGTCCATCAGCAGTTACCAATAGCTGAAGAAGTATGATTCTGCGGTTGTGGGGTATAAATTCATTATTAAATGACATTATTATCATCAAAAGAATATATTAAAACCGAATTATAACGAGAAAACTTTCCTAGACTGGGTCCTTTTGAACTGGATGGCATGTGTCCATCAGCAGTTACCATTAGCTGAAGAAGTATGATTCTGCGGTTGTGGGGTATAAATTAATTATTAAATGACATTATTATCATCAAAAGAATATATTAAAACCGAATTATAACGAGAAAACTTTCCTAGACTGGGTCCTTTTGAACTGGATGGCATGTGTCCATCAGCAGTTACCATTAGCTGAAGAAGTATGATTCTGCGGTTGTGGGGTATAAATTCATTATTAAATGACATTATTATCATCAAAAGAATATATATAAACCGAATTATAACAAGAAAACTTTCCTAGACTGGGTCTTTTGAACTCGATGGCATGTGTCCATCAGCAGTTACCATAAGCTGAAGAAGTATGATTCTGTGGATTGTGGGGGTATAAATTCATTATTAAATGACATTATTATCATCAAAAGAATATATTAAAACCGAATTATAACAAGAAAACTTTCCTGGACTGGGTCCTTTTTGAACTGGATGGCATGTGTCCATCAAAGAAGTTACCATTAGCTGAAGAAGTGTGATTCTGCGGTTGTAGAATTCTCAAATTAATTGTTAAATGACATTATTATCATCAAAAAGAATATATTAAAACCGAATTATAACGAGAAAACTTTTCCTTAGACTGGGTTCCTTTTGAACTGGATGGCATATTGTCCATCAGCAACAGTTACCATTAGCTGAAGAAGTATGATTCTTGCGGTTGTGGGGTATAAATTCATTATTAAATGATATTATTATCATCAAAAGAATATATTAAAACCGAATTATAACGAGAAAACTTTCCTAGACTGGGTCCTTTTGAACTGGATGGCATGTGTCCATCAGCAGTTACCAATAGCTGAAGAAGGATGATTCTGCGGTTGTGGGGTATAAATTCATTATTATATGACATTATTATCACCAAAAGAATATATTATAACCGAATAATAACGAGAAAACTTTGCTAGACTGGGTCCATTTGAACTGGATGGCATGTGTCCATCAGCAGTTACCATTAGCTGAAGAAGTATAATTTTGCGGTTGTGGGGTATAAATTCATTATTAAATGACATTATTATCATCAAAAGAATATATTATAACCGAATTATAACGAGAAAACTTTCCTAGACTGGGTCCTTTTGAACTGGATGGCATGTGTCCATCAGCAGTTACCATTAGCTGAAGAAGTATGATTCTGCGGTTGTGGGGTATAAATTAATTATTAAATGACATTATTATCATCAAAAGAATATATTAAAACCGAATTATAACGAGAAAACTTTCCTGAGCTGGCTCCTTTTGAACTGGATGGCGTGTGTCCATCAGCAGTTACCAATAGCTGAAGAAGTATAATTCTGCGGTTGTGGAGTATAAATTCATTATTAAATGACATTATTATCATCAAAAGAATATATTAAAACCGAATTATAACAAAAAAACTTTCCTGGACTGGGTCCTTTTGAACTGGATGGCATGTGTCCATCAGCAGTTACCATTAGCTGAAGAAATATGATTCTGCGGTTGTGGGGTATAAATTAATTATTAAATGACATTATTATCATCAAAAGAATATATTAAAACCGAATTATAACAAGAAACTTTCCTAGACTGGGTCCTTTTTGAACTGGATGGCATGTGTCCATCAGCAGTTACCATATTAGCTGAAGAAGTATGATTCTGCGGTTGTAGAATTATAAATTAATTATTAAATGGCATTATTATCATCAAAGAATATATTAAAAACCGAATTATAACAAGAAAAACTTTCCTGGACTGGGTCCTTTTTCGAACTGGTTGGCATGTGTCCATCAGCAGTTACCAATAGCTGAAGAAGAATGATTCTTCGGTTGTGGAGTATAAATGCATTATTAAATAATATTATTATCATCAAAAGAATATATTAAAACCGAATTATAACGAGAAAACTTTCCTGGACTGGGTCCTTTTGAACTGGATGACATGTGTCCATCAGCAGTTTACCAGTAGCTGCAGAAGTATGATCTTCGGTTGGAGGGTATAAATTCATTATTAAATAACAATATTATCATCAAAAGAATATATTAAAACCGTATTATAACGAGAAAATTTCACTGGACTGGGTCCAATTAAACTGGATGACATGTGTCCATCAGCAGTTTACCATTAGCTGAAGAAGTATGATTCTGCGGTTGTGGGGTATAAATTAATTAATAAATGACATTATTATCATCAAAAGAATATATTAAAACCGAATTATAACGAGAAAACTTTCCTAGACTGGGTCCTTTTGAAATGGATGGCATGTGTCCATCAGTAGTTACCATTAGCTAAAAGAAGTATGATTCTGCGGTTATGGGGTAAATTAATTATTAAATGACATTATCATCAAAAGAATATAATAAAACCGAATTATAACGAGAAAACTTTTTCCTAAAGCTGGGTCCTTGTGAACTGGATGGCATGTGTCCATCAGCAGTTACCATTAGCTGAAGAAGTATGATTCTGCGGTTGTGGGGTATAAATTCATTATTAAATGACATTATTATCATCAAAAGAATATATTAAAACCGAATTATAACGAGAAAACTTTCCTAGACTGAGTCCTTTTGAACTGGATGGCATGTGTCCATCAGCACTTTTCCATTAGCTGAAGAAGTATGATTCTTCGGTTGGGGGGTATAAATTCATTATTAAATAACATTATTATCATCAAAAAAATACATTAAAACCGAATTATAACTAGAAAACTTTCCTGGACTGGGTCCTTTTGAACTGGATGGAATGTGTCCATCGGTAGTTTACCATTAACTGAAGAAGTATGATTCTGCAGTTGTGAGGTATAAATTCATTATTAAATGACATTATTATCATCAAAAGAATATATTTAAACCGAATTATAACGAGAAAACTTTCCTAGACTGGGTCCTTTTGAACTGGATGGCATGTGTCCATCAGCAGTTACCATTAGCTGAAGAAGTATGATTCTGTGGTTGTGAGGTATAAATTCATTATTAAATGACATTATTATCATCAAAAGAATATATTAAAACCGAATTATAACGAGAAAAAACTTTTCCTAGACTGGGTCCTTTTGAACTGGATGGCATGTGTCCATCAGCAGTTACCATTAGCTTAGCTGAAGAAGTATGATTCTGTGGTTGTGAGGTATAAATTCATTATTAAATGACATTATTATCATCAAAAGAATATATTAAAACCGAATTATAACGTGAAAACTTTCTAGACTCGGGTCCTTTTGGACGCTGGATGACATGTGTCCATCAGCAGTTACCATTAGCTGAAGAAGTATGATTCTGCGGTTGTAGGGGTATAAATTAATTATTAAATAACATTATTATCATCAAAAAGAATATATTAAAACCGAATTATAACGAGAAAACTGTCCTAGACTGGGTCCCTTTGAACTGGATGGCATGTGTCCATCAGCAGTTACCATTAGCTGAAGAAGTATGATTCTGCGGTTGTGGGGTATAAATTAATTATTAAATGACATTATTATCACCAAAAGAATATATTAAAACCGAATTATAACAAGAAAACTTCTTTCCTGGACTGGGTCCTTCTTGAACTGGATGGCATGTGTCCATCAGCGGTTACCATTAGCTGAAGATGTATGATTCTGCGGTTGTGGGGTATAAATTCATTATTAAATGACATTATTATCATCAAAAAGAATATATTATAAACCGAATTATAACGAGAAAATCTCTTCCTAGACTGGGTCCTTTTGAACTGGATGGCATGTGTCCATCAGCAGTTACCATTAGCTGAAGAAGTATGATTCTTGCGGTTATGGGGGTATAAATTCATTATTAAATGACATTATTATCATGCAAAAGAATATATTAAAAACCGAATTATAACAAGAAAACTTTCCTGGACTGGGTCCTTTTGGACTGATGGAATGTGTCATCAGCAGTTACCATTAGCTGAAGAAGTATGATTCTTGCGGTTGTGGGGTATAAATTCATTATTAAATGACATTATTATCACGCAAAAGAATGTTATTAAAACCGAATTATAACGAGAAAACTTTCCTAGACTAGGTCCTTTTGAACTGGATGGCATGTGTCCATCAGCAGTTACCATTAGCTGAAGAAGTATGATTCTGCGGTTGTGGGGTATAAATTCATTATTAAATGACATTATTATCATCAAAAGAATATATTAAAACCGAATTATAACGAGAAAACTTCCCTAGACTGGGTCCTTTTGAACTGGATGGCATGTGTCCATCAGCAGTTACCATTAGCTGAAGAAGTATGATTCTGCGGTTGTGAGGTATAAATTCACTATTAAATGACATTATTATCATCAAATGAATATATTAAAACCGAATTATAACGAGAAAACTTTCCTAGACTGGGTCCTTTTGAACTGGATGGCATGTGGCCATCAGCAGTTACCATTAGTTGAAGAAGTATGATTCTACGGTTGTGGGGTATAAATTCATTATTAAATGACATTATTATCATCAAAAGAATATATTAAAACCGAATTATAACGAGAAAACTTTCCTAGACTGGGTCCTTTTGAACTGGATGGCATGTGTCCATCAGCAGTTACCATTAGCTGAAGAAGTATGATTCTGCGGTTGTGAGGTATAAATTCAGTATTAAATGACATTATTATCATCAAAAGAATATATTAAAACCGAATTATAACGAGAAAACTTTCCTAGACTGGGTCCTTTTGAACTGGACGGCATGTGGCCATCAGCAGTTACCATTAGCTGAAGAAGTATGATTCTACGGTTGTGGGGTATAAATTCATTATTAAATGACATTATTATCATCAAATGAATATATTAAAACCGAATTATAACGAGAAAACTTTCCTAGACTGGGTCCTTTTGAACTGGATGGCATGTGGCCATCAGCAGTTACCATTAGTTGAAGAAGTATGATTCTACGGTTGTGGGGTATAAATTCATTATTAAATGACATTATTATCATCAAAAGAATATATTAAAACCGAATTATAACGAGAAAACTTTCCTAGACTGGGTCCTTTTGAACTGGATGGCATGTGGCCATCAGCAGTTACCATTAGCTGAAGAAGTATGATTCTGCGGTTGTGGGGTATAAATTCATTATTAAATGACATTATTATCATCAAAAGAAAATATTAAAACCGAATTATAACGAGAAAACTTTCCTGGACTGGATCCTTTTGAACTGGATGGAATGTGTCCATCAGCAGTTTACCATTAGCTGAAGAAGTATGATTCTTCGGTTGGGGGTATAAATTCATTATTAAATAATATTATTAGCATCAAAAGGGTATACTAAAACCGAGGTATAAGTTGTCGAAATAAAACGGCGTCCAGTTGGCTGGGAAATGACGTTCGATGACATTTCCCATATAAATTTACATATAAAATGAGAGCGATCTTCATTTCATAGCCAACGCTGACGCCGTTTTTTCTCGATCATACGGTATAATACAATTTGGTAGACAATTAAATCTGACTTACGTAAAATATACGGGGTGTTCTATTTAAATTTAACAAGTTATTGCCGTTTAAAGCTAGTAATTATTTAATATAAATTTTTAAACAAAACTAAAGAAGTCATAATATACGGGGTGTTCCATTTAAAAAAATACATCTTTGATATTTTTATTTATTTGGAACACTCTGTATCTTTTAAAAATATGTTTAAATTGTAGCTCTAATAGTCCTTCATCGAACCCAAAACTTACAATTTGTAAAAATCTACTCGTTTAGCTACAATACTCGTATGTGGTGACTAACCCTGTATATTTTTTACAGAGTACAAAACAGTTAAGTACGACGGGTACAGCAAATTGAATGATGTTCCGGAATACTGCTATTTCAGAGGACAGTACAGGTTCACCAATTACTTCAAGAGGCATGAGTTGAGCTTATACTATTGGAGGTACCTAACGTATCGACTGATAACTGTCTTTGTTTTCGAGGTAATATTTGAAATTCTTCATGTTGGATGACGCTATTCGGTTTTCCGATATCTCTCTAATAACTGTGCCGGTCAGGCGCTGTGCACAATTTTAGAGGCCATAAGTGGGCGTGCTATGTGCGCAAACTAGTAACCTAACTAGTGCCCGATTCCGAAAATTGGAACCACGAAAAACAATAAAGAAAAAACAAAGATTATAATCTGTATAATCTGTGATAGTAATTTGACGTGAATTAATGTGAATGATAAATATGGGAACTTCTTATTTTTTTAAATTAATCATAAATTTTTCTTCGGAAAAATTATGATAAAACAGTCTCTGTTGAACTTCTGGCACAAAAACATTTTAAATTTATGATTTCAGTCTAATAACTATTTAGTCAACATGTTGAATTTATGTCAATGACAACATGTACTGAATATTTCGGTTTCAAATATCTCGAGAACCCTTACTCGTAGCTCGTAGCTCTCCAAACCAAGAGACCTTTTTTATGTAATAAAGCGTAAATGTATATTTTTTTACTCAGCAGTTTTATACAATTACGGACGAAAAGTTATTACTCTTCAAACCAGTTAAAAATATGTAGGTGGCGCCCTCTACAAGTAGGATCTACATTGACATCTAAAATCTAAATTAAATTAATCAATGTCAAAAAACTCCCAGACAACAATTTTGATCCAAATATTGACGTTACTTCAGAAATTATTTGGAAAAAATCTAAACCAAAAACGAAATTTCTACACCCTGTATCTCCGAAATTAAGCATTTTAGGACATGAACTTTTTTACTTATTTTTATCTGTAGAGTATGTTGTCGAAGTTTCCGGAATACAGTTCGACATTCAATGGCAAAAACCATTAAAAACAGAAAAAACTAAACAGGTTTTTTTTGGATCTAGCACGTGATACTGGTCTGCAACGCCATTTTGTCGTATTCCATACCGAAGTTTCCAGTTTCTGTGGCCCAACATCTGGATAAGGCCAGGCTAGAAGTTAGAGAGGCGAAACACAAAGCTTTCCAGTCGGGAGTTAACAAAGAAGGCTTGAAAAACCAAGGAAATATTAAAGAAGTAAGACTGGCTTGAATTAATATGAATAATGTACAGGGTGGCCTATCGAAAACGTTCCGCAAGGCATAACGGCCAGGGTCATTTTTTTTTCAGAAAATTCAAAAACACGTCAATTTTGTGAGGGGGACAACTTTTGCCCCAAAAATTATTGTAAAATCTTCAACCCTCTAAGCGGGGGTGTCATTCCCCGATTTTTTTCAAAGGGGAACGGGGGTCAAGTGGTACCGCAGTGAAAAGGGCTTTCTATTCTGTATACTTTCCTGCTTAGTTTTTGAAGATCGGTCGAGTCGTTGGGAAAATATGAAGGATTGAAATTTGAAAAGTTTATTTAAACATTTATCAGAGTAAATGATAAGGGTAAATTCCTTCGACCAATTTGCTGTTTTTTCTTATTATTTCTAGATGTTTGCAATCGGGTTGCGCAGATATTCAATGAACGCCATCCTGACAAACACCGTTATGGCAAAATTGTTCGCCAGTTAATAGCAAAATTTCGCGAAACTGGTTCCGTTATGAATAAAAAGAGGCAGAGGGAAAATCTTGTAGTAAATGAAGCTATGGAGGTATTCGTATTGGGCCAAGTTGCCATAGATAGTACGCTGAGTACAAGAAAATTAGCCAATGAGACCGGCGGGAATCGTACAAGTTTCCAAAGGATATTAAAAAAACACAAGTTCCACCCGTACAAAATTCAGTTGGTACAAGAACTCAAGGAAGACGATTTTGATCGTCGCTTGCAATTTTGTGAAACTGTGAGTGAACGAGTGGCGAATGATAATAATTTCCTATTTAATGTGTGTTTTTCGGATGAGTGTACTTTCTTTTTGAACGGTGTAGTTAATCGGCACAACTCACAGTGCTTCGAACATATGGCTCTAGAGGACAAAAATCCAAAACTTCTCTTTTATTATAAGCAATTTATTCAAACTAGGTTTATTTGACACAATTGATGAGTACTCTCATTGTACTAAATGATGATGTTCTTAGTCCCACGTTTATAAAAAAAAATCTTATAAATAATAATAATGTTGGAGCTGTGTTCCATCTAAGCAAATAATAAGTTATAGTATGAAAACCGTGTAAGTATTAAATAAATTCCTGTGATAAAAAATTTAAATAACATTAGAATATGATTCCTACAATATAAGCCTAATATAAGATAAAAATGTTTTTCTTTAATGAAAAAGAAACATTAATGTTATATTTAATTAAAAAAAAACTTAAGATACTATAAATTTACTTTAGGACAACAAAATGCATAGATCGTAACTACTCTGATTCAGGAGAATCACTCTTGACAGAATCTTCCAAATTTATAGTATCCAAATCACAGGTAGATGAAGTATCCTCACATATAAGATATTTCTGTACATCATTTTCTAATATGTTACTTTTTCGCGTTGTTACTGTTCATTTTGTCGGTATGAGGGGTTCGGATGTTAATAGTTACATCTTTAATATACCTTCTCCATATATTATTTTTTCCTTTTCTTGGGTATAACATTTTATAATAAATTGAAAGATGGACATTTTTTTTATGCGACGTTTCGCTCCAACATAGTGGACTTTTTCAGGCACAAGTGGTGTCTCATTTGACTGGAAGGTTCATCAATATCTAATAAGAACATATTTTTTGAAATACAAATAATTTTGAGTTCTTATCCTTATGATCAAGCCAAGTATAGCCAGATCGGCATTGCTTATCAATTTTACTCCATCTGAAAAGTATTATAAAATAAAGTTCGTCGCAAGCAGACGCAGGTGAACTATACAAAAATTAAAAGTGTATGAATATGGGAACAAAAATATTCAATAAATACGATATGTTTTGATATGTTTTTTTTAAATGCCTTTTTGAAGTTTGAAAACGTAAAATTTTTATACCCATTTAAGAATCATCTTAAAAAATAAATAAGAACTAAACAATCACGAACTTGTTTAGAAATAAATTTAAAGTACATACCTTGTTTAACAATATCCATAGTGGCTTTCAATTAAGTACGTACCCGTTTAACTCCATAATATACAGAACTACTATGAATGTTATTCTTTTCACTGATGAGATAATGATCGCAAAATTTATTTTTAGTGAAAATATTTGGTAACAAAAACGCTGTTTATGAAAAATAATATACAGGATGGTTGAACATTGCTATAAGTATAAAATTATATATTCAGATATTAGTAAATTTTAACTTATTTTTTGATGTTTGTCCATGGGACGAAGCACTGTGCAACTGTCGGTACTGGGCTGAGAACAACCCCAGGGTTTTTCACGAGGTGCACACACAAAACCCTCAGAAATTGAACGCGTGGCCTGGTATTTTTGGAAATTCTATTATGTGTCAGTTTAACGATATTGAGAAGAACTTCAACGTACAAGTCACAGAACAGCTATCTAGCAACTACCGCACCTGATCGTTCAACGTTGTGGCAAGTGAAAAAATGCGTAAACATCTAGAAATAATAAGAAAAAACAGCAAATTGGTCGAATTTATTCTTAATTATCATTTACTCTGATAAATGCTTAAATAAACTTTTCAAATTTCAATCCTTCATATTTTCTCAATGACTCGACCGATTTCAAAATCGAAGCGGAGAAATATAGAGAATAGAAAGCTCATTTCATTGCGGCGCCACTTGACTCCCCTTTCCATTTGAAAAAAGTTGGGGGATGACACCCCCGCTTAGAGGGTTGAATATTTTGCAATCATTTTTGGGGCAAAAGTTGTCCCCCTCACAAACAAAATTGACGTGTTTTTGGATTTTTTATTTTATGCCTTGCGGAACGTTTTTGATGGGCCACCCTGTATATTTTAATAACATATTATTTATTATTTTTTCAGTCCATTAAACTTCACATGGAATAGATAGAACTAAACCTAAAATGAACGAAGCTGTAAAAAAGAAAATTTTTAATTTTAAGAGTTTTTTTTATAATTAAATATGTCAAAAGTTATATATAGAAAATACTAATTTATTTTTATTTTAAATAGAGTTTTTTATTGATATCTTCCTAATTCCTATAGTATTATTATTGTACTTAAGAGTCTATTATGCTTTCAGGGTGTGTGGCCGAAGGAAATACATACACACACCGGAAAAGTCTAGGGATATTACAATTTTATCCAGCCATCGTCAGTAATTTTATTATTTGCATTTCTGATATAATAAAATTAAAATAAACAAATAGTTTACATTCCAATACGTCGGAAATAAAAATACGAAATTTACCGAATTTTTCAAATTTACCTTGATTTTTATTGAACTCAAAAAAATACACACATTTTTTTTTATTCTAAACTGTGAATTAAAAAAAAATAAAACCATTTTTACTTAATAAAGGGTATGGCCTCTTCTACTGTTCATTACAGCCCTACATCGTCTCTCCATGCTCCTGATCAGGTTGTCGATCTCTTCTTGAGGTACAGCCTGCCACGCTGCATTCACGGCCCGAACCAGATCTCTACGAGTTTCACGAGGCATACCCATCTCAAAATTCTTCTTTGGACCGCGTCCCATACGTGCTCGATGGGGTTGAGGTCAGGAGATTGTGCCGGCCAGGGTAAGATTAATTGATGAGCATTGATAAACTCACTTACCACTCTGGCTGTATGAGGCCGTGCATTGTCATGCATGAGAATGAAGTTTCTCCCAAAATCAATGGCATATGGTAACACGACAGGCTCAAGAATTAAATCACGATATGTGATTCCTGTTAGAAACCTTTCAAGAAAAACAAGATCGGTTTTTCGGCCTAACTGAACTCCTCCCCAGACCATAACTGTTCCACCTTGATAAGGGTGCACTTCCTGAACATGATCCAACCGAATAAGATTTCCCGGTTCTCTCCATACCCTAAGCCTTCTCGAATCTGGATGAATTCCAAAGCGTGACTCATCCGTGAAAAGAACATTTGCCCATTGTTCATTCGATCACTGAACATGATCTTGAGCCCACAAATATCGTACCTCTCGATTTCTCTCGTTAAGGGTTGAGCTCTCCAGGGGCGTCTGCTTCTTAAGTTAACCTCTCTTAATCTATTGCCAACAGTGTCAGGACTAACGGTTACATTATGTGTTTCCTGGAGAATTAAACTAAGCTATGGTGCTGTAAGAGTCGGTCGGCGTCGAGCATTTAATTGTAAAAAATGATCTTGCTGAGGGGTAGTAATGCGATGTCGCCCTGTGTGCCTTTCAGCAACATCACCACTTTCACGGTAGCGTGCACTTAATCGCGGTATTACACTTTGCGTTGTATTTAGTGCTCTAGCTACGTCGATTTGGCACATTCCAGCTTCGAGCATACCCATGGCCCTTAGCATTTCGTCTCTGTTAAGATGTCTACGCTCCATAATGTCGTTTAATACTAAACAGAGTTATTTGAATGAATTCTGGCCAGTTATCACAAAAACATAGCCAGTACAGGTTAAATTTAAACAATTGATGCTAGGTGCTTTTTATACATTTGACAAAAAATGCACAAACACTTCTGCAAATATCCTAAATTTAGAAATAACTAGTGTGACTACTTCGTTTCAATTGAAGTAGAAATAATCGGCCTACAAATATGAGGTTGTTTATTCAAAACATTTATTTTCAACTTTAATAAAATGATATCCCTAGATTTTTCCGGTGTGTGTATTTTATTTCTCCGTCATACGCCCTAAAACATTCTTCTAGTGTCTTAGACCGTTGCAGATTCCCATTTCAGGTTACAGATTGAGTCTTCCAGTACATACCCTAAAAATTACTCGAAAAAAATCGATACCCCTGTTACTGTAGTCCCTCTACGCACACCCTATAATTTGTCCGTAATCACACCATAATCGACCCCTGTGGAGACGACCCCCAAGCCTGCCAAATTAACCGTTGCGAGTCAATGGCGTGCCTCCATTGGCCGGGGGGTTGCAGGGTGGTGTTAAGTACACATGGCGCGTTTTCGTCGCCATTGTTAGCGTATCGTCATAGCGCAACGCATAATGTTGTTAACGAGAAGAGGGCCCTGGAAAAGCGGAGAATAAATTACTGAGATGATACGAGGGGTTTAGGAATAGTAAGTATAATTTTTGTCGTATTGTAACATATACAGGGTTGTTCACCACATACGACACGGAGTATTGTAGCTAAACGATGAGATTTTTACAAATTGTAAGTTTTGGGTTCGATGAAGGACTATTAGAGGTACAATTTAAAAATAATTTTACAAGATACAGAGTGTCCCAAATAAGTAAAAAATATCAAAGTTGTATTTTTTTAAATGGAACACCCTGTATATTATTACATTTTTAGTTTCTACTAAAATTATATTATACCATTTATGGGTATTTTTACCTATCTCTTTAAGTTTCCGTAGAAAATGCATTTTCTTGGAATTTAGAACTTATTTATCAATATACCCATGGACTATTGACATTTTAGATTATTTTTAAAGATGTACCAAATTTTTAAAGAGTACTGATACTAATATTGTCGATATAATTCGTTTATTTCATTAAAAAATAAAAAAAAACGGTTTAAATATTTGTTAAAGAGGACCAATTAATATGATCCAGTATTCAAACTACATTAACTGACTGTTTGCATTGATTAATAATAATTGCTCCAAATACTAAAAAACTGAATTTTGTATGGGCATTAGACAGTGTGATAAAAAGTAACACCTTAAAAATGATATTTCATTTTTTAATAAATGCTTATTTATAACAACAGAGACTTTAATTTGATAACTTATTATTATATTGATTTCTGACTCAAATCCACATTTATTTATAATAATTTATTAACGAACACAATTAAGTATGTAATTAATTAGTATATGGGCGGAAATAATGGTGTTATATTTAATTAATGGTATACTCTTTGATAAAGATTTAAATAGTTTTCTTTTTGCATACAAATGGGCTAGTAATATTATCGTTTTGCTAAAAACGATAATATTACTAGTCTGTACATTTTGTACATTTGCTGCTTTAAAAACAATCTAAAATGTCAATATTCCATGGATATATTGATAAATGAGGTCTAAATTATAAGAAAATGCATTTTCTACGAAAACTTGAAGGGATAGGTAAAAAATGGCATAATACAATTTGATAGACAATTTAATTGTGCATCTGATTCTCCTAAAATATACAGGGCATTCTATTTAAATTAAAGAAGTTATTGCCGTTTGAAGCTAATAATTATTTAAAATAAATTTTTAGACACTCTGTATAAGGTAGTATTATTTTTATTATTGCAACACAATAACTGATCAATAAATAAACTTCATTAAATATTTAGTATTAAAAACATTGATACCCTTGGAGAAATGAAGCTTTTACGAATTTTTACTGCAATTTCACAAAATTGAAAATATTTCAAAATCGGTAAGGTTTAAGTATAATAAACCTTAATCAAATTTACCTTTATTTTAATCGTAGAAACTAAAAATGTAATAATATACAGGGTGTTCCATTTAAAAAAATACGACTTTGATATTTTTTATTTATTTGGGACACTCTGTATCTTGTAAAAATATTTTTAAATTGTAGCTCTAATAGTCCTTCAACCAACCCCAAACTTACAATTTGTAAAAATCTCATCGTTTAGCTACAATACTCCGTGTCGTATGTGGTGAACAACCCTGTATACAGGGTCTTTCATTTATAATCGTCTAGTAAATTTATTTCAAATATACCATTTCAAGACCTCAACAGTGAATAAACCAAGACATATATATCAAATTTTCTCCAACAAAACGACCAACGAATCTCTTATTCCTTCGCTGTCAACGAGACCACCGGGCTACGGCGCTACGCCCCCCTCATACCCGACACCTCTCGCCACCCCGAAAAACTATTTATCCAGTTATTTAATTTAGGATATCCAGCTGGTGGACAGCTCCCACAAAAGACCCGAGGTAATTTGATTCCGCCGAGGACGACGACACGTCTCGCAACATTGTACGAAATAATGGGAGCGAAAAGGGGGCCCCGGTGAATAGGGGGCGCCGCCCGTTACGTCATTAGGCGGTGTACAATGGCGGCGCAGCGGTACGACCGGAGAAAAACGGGACAAACTCATTTCTTCGGGAAAATAATAAATCTATACTAATATATAAAATCTTTAAGTGACTGACTCACTGATTAATCACGATCCTGTTCAAACCACTCAACGTAAGAAGCTCAATTTTGGCATACAGGTTGATTTTGGCAAACAGGTGTAGAGGTTCGATAAGAAGGGATTTTTCGAAATTCCAGTTCCAAGGGGGTGAAACAACCCCTCAAATATAACAATATTTTTTATTGAAAAAACGGTCAAGTTTCCGAAAAAAAACGCTTAAACACGTATATTTTATTTTGTTTTTTTACATATTTTAAGATTTCTTAAAAATGTATACAGGGTGTTTCGAAAAATCTGGTCATTGATTAATCACGATCCTGCTTAAAGCGCTTGACGGAAAAAGCTGATTTTTGGAAAACGGATTGACTTTAGGGTGTAGAGGTTCGATAAGATGGGATTTTTCGAAACTCGAATTCTAAGGGGGTGAAACCACCCCTCAAATATTAGAATATTTTTTATTTAAAAACCGGTGAGTTTTTTGGAAAAACTCTTAAACACGTATATTTTATTTTGTTGTTTTACATATTTTAAGATTTTTAAAAAAATTATACAGGGCGTTTCATAAAATATGACCATTGAGTAATCACGATTCTACTTAAACTGCTTGACGTTTAAAGCTAATTTTTGGTAAACGGATTGACTGTGGGGTGTAGAAGTTCGATAAGGAGGGGTTTCTCGAATCTCAAATTCCAAGAGGGTGGAGACGCCCCTCAAATATTACAATATTTGTTATTTAAAACACTGTTAGTCTTTCGGGAAAACGCTTGGACACGCATAATTTATTTTGTTTTTTACATTTTTTTAAATTTTTAAAAAACCATACAGGGTGTTCCAAAAGTTGGGTAACCTAAGATTAACCA